TCAAAACTTTAGCATCAAATAAATCCCATCTTCTCATTTTTTTTTCTTTATTTATTATTTAATTTATTTTTTTTGAACTTTTTCACCGCTACGTAGAGGATAAGGCCCCTAAGAGACATGCTGGGTCTCTCTTAGAGATCGCTAAAAAAAAGAGCATAGCATGATGAAAAAGACGCCATACTTGACGAAAACAAAAATTTATCATCTCAATGTTCATGTTATTATTAAGAAGAAAGTACAAAGCATTTTTCAATTATTTTTAGAAATGTTTCCTTCTCTTTTAGAACCTTCTAAATTTTGATTAAAAAATCTTGTTTCTCTTTGTATCTGCGGAACTACTAAATAACAAAATTTTAGCATATTTTTTTTGTTTTTTCGGGGTTTTTCTTTTTTGTATGACAGACATTAATTTAGAAAATCTTACAAAAATTAAAATCATTGTCGGATGTTATTGAAACTCTCAGAAAATATTTATTGAAACTCTCAGAAAATATTTATTGAAACTTTCAGAAAATATTTATTGAAACTCTCGGAAAAATATTTATTGAAACTCTCAGAAACTATTTATTGAAACTCTCAGAAAAATATTTATTGAAACTTTCAGAAAATATTTATTGAAACTTTCAGAAAATATTTATTGAAACTCACAGAAAAATATTTATTGAAAGTCTCAGAAAAATATTTATTGAAACTCTCAGAAAAATATTTATTGAAACTCTCAGAAAAAATTTTCCCAAATGATTAAAATTATAAATATGTTTCTGTTTTTAAAGTCATGGCAAAAATATTTTTTTTTCATTTATTACCCACCCCATTATAAATAATTTTATGAAAACACTAGAAATTCAATACCGTTCAGTTTAGTTATTATATTACTTAAAAGAACAAGGCTTTGAGGAAAGCAAATCATGTACTTATTTTAATCGGACCCCCCTACCTAAAAATCAGCTCTGAATTATACCATACAAAACTCAATAAAACATTATTTAATTTCAAATGCTTTTAGTGACTTTTACTTGTTATGAATATGGATAATATTGTCTGAACGCAAAAAACCTTTTCAATGAAGAATGAATTTTTAAAACAATTATTTGTTATTTCTTAAATTATTTTATTATTTGTATATTAAATTTGTTAAAATATTCTAAAAATAGTGAAAACGTTATTCAATTTAGTCATCAGTGTTATTAAATAGATCTTTCTTTTAGCATTATAAGTTGTATAACTTATAACACTCAGAAGAGCCGCACGGTATAAAAAAAACTAATTCCAGATGGCTTTTGTGTCCATAAAACGGTTGTAATTCAAATGTACGGAAGACCAGCAAGAATACAATAAAAAATCGCGTCTTTTGAATTGAACATTGTTCGCCTCCATTAAGGCCTTTGGTTCTGCGAGACAAGTATGGAGAAGTTAATTTGATTTTTTAATTTCAACTAAGAAGGGTGCCTACAAGTATCAGTATCATCTTATGAAATTTATATGATCTTATTTTTATATTAATCTCAGTTATGAGATTTTTCCATAAATGAAATATCAAAATTAATAATAAAATGAATGGAAATACAAATAACACAGTAAAATATAATAAATGTACATAAGATTATAGTATTTTATGTACACTTCTGATAAAATTTCGTAAGAAAGTTACCTATGAATTAATTAGATACCTTTCTTATAAAATTTAATCTCACTCTCAACAGTCTTAATTTAATTATATTGTAATATATTATCCATAAAGCATTATAAACATAAAGGCGAAAACTACGTACAAAAAATAGAGCACTGAAAGTTTTCCATAAAAAATAACGAGGTAAATAAGTTGATTCACTTAAAACTAAATAATTATATCATTTCTCTTATTCTGTACGATAACTTTTCCTCACGTAAGCTGTCAATACGTAGTGAAATCATCACACATCACCTGCCAACGGACACCAAATGTTATTTTTAAACTACATCTTTTCGGTGCAGAAACTAAGTAATGCTTGTTTCAAAATATTATAAATAAACATTATAATTTCTAATTGTTTTTAAATAAATTTTGAAAAAAATATAATTGATTTTTAAAAGAATTTGAAACTGAGATTTTTACATTTTTTATAAAATGGAAAAATGGTTGATTATCTGTCAATTTTCCTAACTAAAAAAAACAAGATTTTTACTGAAAATTTAGGACATGCTAGAAATTATTAAAATATGTAAAAAAATACACCCAAAATATTTTAATCTTTCCTCTTAATAATATAAATATTTAGACAATAAAAAATTATTTTCATCAAGTTTAAGGACCTTTATATGCTGTGGTCTTTTGTTAGCGATATCTCAGATGTACCTATACAAGGCTATACAGAGTCTGAAGCAAAACAGCGAAACGTTAATGAGGAGAATAAAGAAAAAGAAAAACCGGACTCAAAAAGACAAAAGAGAAGAATTGAAATTGTATTTAAATTTTTAAAGATCGTATTTAGGTAACCTTGATATATTTAGGAAGGATACTAGAATAATCCAGAAACTATACTGGCAGCAAACAATCTGCATACGGACAGAAAATCAGTTCAATATATAAACACAAAAATGAAAAGTAGTGTAAATGAGGAGATTCTTTGATAATTAGTACTACAATGATTCATTATTGGCGGTCCCAATCTTAGCAACATAAGATATGCAGATGACATAGTGTTGATGGCAGTCACAGAAAGAAAACTACAAAACTCCTTCATGCGTTAACGAAAGGAAGCGAGAATTAAGGAATAAACGTCAATTGCAAGAAGACAATATATGGAACACCGTAACATGAAAATGACAAAATCAAACAAGTAAACCAAATTAATTATCTGGGAAGTGTTTAAACAGAAGACGGAAAACGTGGCCCCGAAATCCGAAGATGCATTGAAATAGCGGAAGATGTTCAGGCGGGAGAAAAAGCAATGTACTTAACTGGCTTATTGTTTCTTACTAACTAAAAGTGGTTACGTTTTTACTAACATTTTATAGTTTCATGGGGCAAGTGACTTTATTACTACGTGATCCCTAAAGTAGTTATAAGGGAAGTGTTTTTTTTTTGTCCCCTTTTTATTTTTATATTAACACAAGTTATTAGTACTTCCCTGGCACATGACTAGCTTAGACGAGCTCTGACGGTCTTGGACAATCTATGACCAACCAGGAACAGTTATGACTAGATTAGACCAGCTCTGACCAGCTTGGCCAATCTATGACCAACTAAGACCAGATTAGTCAGGCGGCCAAAATGAAAACTTTCGGATCCCCACGTTAAAAAATGGCCTTGTGTCACAACTTGATTCAGTGGGAAGGTCAAGTAAATCTCTTCTTAATGCAAGTTAGTAAACGGTTACGTTACGTTGCGAAATGGAACCTTATTTTTTAACTTAAGATAAATGCTTTTGCTTATTATCTTCGCCTCTAGTTTTTTTCGTTGAGACTTTCTCGACAAAGATGTCTTTCAGAAATTAAGTAAAATTGTTAAGAATAGAAAACATCCGTCAAAATCAAAGAAAGGTGTACTGAACGGTTATGCAATATCAGCCCTGCTCCATAGCAAGCAATACTGGGCGATCTCATCAGACTTAAAGGGACGTAAAGTAGCACAAGTGAGAAAGAAGTAATTGACCTCTTTTTCCTGGGGTATGCTAAAAGAGAGGGTGTACTCAATGAAAATAGCACATGCAACACACTTGATTGAACGTATAAAGAATGAATGTGTTACAATTGACAGCAATGTGGAGTTATTGCATCAAGTTCACGTGAATCTTGCAAAGCACATTGTATTTCACAGGTTGCTTTAAAAATTTCTTAACTCCTCAATAATCTAAATTTCTTAATCTCCAAACAAGACTAGGGATGCCCGAAGAGCTATTCGATCGAAATGTGATCGAAGCAAAAAAATATAATTCTTGTAAAATTTGAACATTACTTTACATGATGACAAGTGATCGATATTTGATCCCTGTAAAAATCTAATATATCTAATGTGACTTTTTAGTGTAGGTGAGTTGTAAAATTTGATTGAATGCATAAAGAGTGAATGTGCAAAAATTGACGACAATGTGCATTTATTGCACCGAGTTCACGTGAATCCTCCAAAGCGCATCAACGTTTTCATCACAAATGATGAAAATCACATTGAAGATGTTGTTAATATTCCAATTCAACAAAATATTTTTGAAAATTTAATTTCTTGAAAATATGCATTTTTGCCAATGTGTCCAAGCTTTAAGGAGATCATGTATATTATTTATTTACCTCATTCTAAATTGTTAATATTCATTGAAATTTCGTATAAAATGCCTACCAATCATTTGCTTAGATTTCTTTATTCCAAAATTGCCAATTATTTATTTATTTTTTTTATCTTTTTATTCCTAGCAAGGCAATAACGCCCCTAAGACACAAGGCATTACTGAGAGCGAAAGAAAACCGAGAAAATTTTACTGATGTTTCGAAGAAGTTTTAAATTGACGATACTTAAATCAAACACGTGCCAGAATTTCTATATATGTGAAGTGGTTTAACAAATATCTGGTAGTGCGACACTGAAATCCAAAGGTGTATTGGGATAGCGAAAAAGGACACATATTTTCTAGGGTACATCGTATAATGTACCTAGCGAGCTTGAACAAATGGATGGAGAACTGCTGCCAGGAAAATGTTTTTATAGTATTGGCGCCTGGAAGTTAGATTAGGGCTGTGTGAAATTGACTGATGCAAAGATTTCAGCTCAGGTGGGTCGGGTCATATTTCACATCATGCTTTGGATTTTTTTCGGTAACTCTCTAAATATATAGCACAAGAACCCTTCCAGATGAGGCAACAATATTCGACGAACCGATAAGTGGTACATTTATAAAGGTAAAACTTCATTTATCGTTTGTTTTTTCGATAAAATTCCGGAGATCTTTTTTGTAGGGATGATCGTCTCGCATAGCCGGATTTTGCGTGTTGAGTAAAAAATTTCAACCTAAGACATTTGTTTACGCATGAATATTTTTGGAAATCTATTAATCCATTTTCTTTCTCTCTCTCTCTCTCTCTCTCTCTCTCTCTCTCTTTCTCTCTCTCTCTCGTCTCTAGGTATTCTGTGATCTCAATATTTGGTTGTTATTGAGCCTAGGAGAATAACATCTCTGAATACAAAACCATTTGTAGGTGGAACTTCCAACTCCACCCGGTAAAATCTTGTTACTTTAAAGTACACCAGTAACATCTAGTGTTTTCGAATTGCGGTGTCATGTGGGCCAGATTTTCTAAAAGTTTAACTATACACCATTTAATTTTGTTCATTTTTCTTCTTTCGTTTCTTCCTTTAACAATTTACTTTTTTCTTTATAACAGACGGAATTCTTTAGCGAACCCTTTCATTTTCCTTCTTTTTTTTAAATCCATTGGAAGTATGTGTGAGTAGATAATGGATTGCAACTCGGAATGAGATATCTGAGTCTGAGATCAACTTCCCGCCACTTTCGTTGCATGCACTTACGGTTAAATAGGCAAACCCCTAACGCAGCTATGGTTTAATTAGGTTTGACTCTGTCATTCTTCTCCAAAAATTGTTGACTCGAAAAGAAAAGAAAAAGAATTATTCCTAAACTCTAGAATATATTTCATTTTTAAATCACGCATAAAGGGTTGACAAGCAGTAAAAAAAAATCGATTAAGAACACAGATTCTCAATTTTTCCACTTTTATCAATTTTCAATACTTCTTTTCAAAATTTGTCCAATTTTTTAATTTGTTTGTATATTTCTTTTTCTTTCTTTCTTTCTTTCTTTCTTTCTTTCTTTCTTTCTTTCTTTCCTCTGTTGCCGTTTTATTTCTTCTTTTTTCCATTATTTCTTTTTTTCATTTATTTCTCTTTTCTTTATCATTATCAGGAATTTATTCTCTTTCTGTCTGTCTTTCTTTTCTTTCTTTCTTTCTTTCTTTCTTTCTTTCTTTCTTTCTGTCTTTTTTCCTTCTTTCTTTCTTTCTTTCTTTCTGACTTTCTTTCCTGCTTTCTTTCTTTCCTTATTTCTTTCTTTCTTTCCCTCTCTCTCTCTTTCTTTCTTTCTTTCTTCTTTTCCTTCTTTCTTTCTTTTTGTCTTCTTTCTTTATTTCTTTCTTCCTTTCATTCTTTCTCCCTTTCCCTCTCTTTTTCTTTCCTTCTTTCTTTCTGTCTTTCTTTCCTTCTTTCTTTCTTTCTTCCTTCCTTCCTTTCTTTCTTCCTTCCTTTTTCCTTCTCTCTTTGTTTCTTTCCTTCTTTCTTTCTTTGTTTCTCTCTCTCTTTCTTTCTTTCTTTCTTTAACGTTCGTTTTCCTTGTCTTCTTACGAGATCATTTCTCCTCGTTTCCTCCGATTCACCCTAGTTCAATAATTTTAATGTATTTTATGTTTATTCATGTTTCCCTCCCAAATATGGCTTTCCATCCAACTTTCCGTCTTTTTCCGTCTTTACCGTCTATTTTGTTACTTTTTTCCCCTCTCGTTTACTGTAGCAACTGCATTGCTATTTTCCGTTTCCAGTTTCCATCTTTTTTTTTATTGTTCATCATTCAATGGCATTCTACCTCTTTTGTTTTTCATTCAAGTCGTTTTAACTTCACTTCAACCATTTTATTTGTTTTCTTTTTTCATTTCTTTGTCCCATGTACCAATTTTTCGCTCTCTTTTTTCCCAATATTTAAATCTATACATGTTCTTTTGCCTTTCTCTATAAGCTTTTTTTTTCTGTTTTCTTTCTTGTATTTTTCTTTCATTTTATTTCTCCATTTAATATTTTTGTGGATATTCCATCATACTTTCCTTCCTTCCTTCCTTCCTTCCTTCCTTCCTTCCTTCCTTCCTTCTTTTCTTCCTTTCTTCCTTTCTTTCCTGGCTCCTTCCTTCCTTCCTTCCTTCCTTTCTTCCTTCCTTCCTTCCTTCCGTCACTCTTTCCTTCCTTCCTTCCTTCCTTCGATCGCTCTTTCCTTCCCATTTTCCTTCCTTCCTTCCTCCGCTTTTTCTATCCTTCCTTCCTTTCTTCCTTCGATCGCTCTTTCCTTCTCTTTTTCCTTCCTTCCTTCCTTCCTTTCCTCGCTCTTTATTTCCTTCCTTCCTTCCTTCCTTCCTTCCTTCCTTCCTTTTTTCCGCCGCTCTTTCCTTCCTTCCGTCGCTCTTTCCTTCCTTCCTTCCTTCCTTCCTTCATTCATTCATTCCTTCCTTCCGTCGATCTTTCCTTCCTTCCTTCCGTCGCTCTTTCTTTCCTTCCATCGCTCTTTCCTTCCTTCCTTCCTTCCTTCCTTCCTTCCTTCCTTCCTTCCTTCCTTCCTTCCTACCGTGGCTCTTCTTTCCTTCTTTACTTACTTCCTTTCGGCGCTCGTCCCTTCCTTCCTTCTGTCGTTCTTTCTTTCCTTCCATCCTTCCATCCTTCCTTCTTTTTTGTCATTATTTTTCTGTTTTTCTTTCTTTTTTCCTCAAATTTTCTTTCGATTTTTTCTTTTCTCCTTTTATATTTATTTATTTATATCAGTATTTCATTTCTTTTTTTCTGCTGTCGTTTTTATATCTTTCTCATTTTTTTCGTTCTGTTTTTTCAATTTTTCTTTCGTTTTTACTTCTCTGATTTTTCTTTTTTTTTTTCATTCTTTCTTTGTCCTTTGTCTGTAATAAATCTTTCTTTCTTTCTTTCATTTTTATATTTCGTTTGTTCTGTCCGTTTTCTTTCTTTCTTTTCTTTCGTTTTACTTCTTTTCTTTCCTTTTCTCAATTTTTCTTTCCTTTTTTCTTTCATTCATTTTGTCTTTTTTATTTAATCCCCTTTTCTTTTATTGTTTTCTTCTTTGTTTCTTCAGTTTTCAACTTTTGTCACTTCTTTCATTCTTTCTTCTGACTTCAATTCTTTATTACAGATACCCCGTTCATCCCATTTAATAGGTCATTTGATTCTTAATCCCCCCCCCCGCCCATCAAATGCTTTATAAATTTCGAATATAAATACTTTTCTCGTTCGACTTCCTGTTTTATTCAGAAATAATTTATCACTTCCGCAGTTACTCATCCTTCATTCTTTATTTGTTAATTTATCAACTTCTTTTATATTCACCTCCCTCATATTTATTTCTTTTATTCATTAAATCCTCCTTTTCCTCAACCTTATTACTTAGCACAATCCATCTTTCCTTCATTCCATAATTCGATCCATACAGCGTTCTTATTTTCTTCACACTGAGCAGCGTCGAGGTCTGTCAGTATTTAGATGGCTGGCCGCTTGGAAACACCAGGTACCGTATATTGTTTTTTCCAAGAATAGCTTAGATGTGGCACAAAGACGAATGTATGTGGTACCCAGGGAGGATCGAACTCACTACTGAGACAAGATTGCTAACCATTACACCGTCTCAAAGTGCCCGGATATACCGCAAGCAAGCTCATACTGTTCGAAATATGTTTCGCTTGAAATATCCCGGAAAAGATTTGTAATAGCGATATATAAATGAGTGCTATATTCTGGCGGGAAGTTCACTTGGAGGCTGGGTTTAATTTCCGGCGCTTGGAGCGTCCTCAAAACGGAGAAGTATTCTCTTTGAGAATGATTCAAAGGTACGTGGCTGAGTGGTTAGAACGTTCGCATTCTGACCATGAGACCCGGGTTTGAATCTCACCTTGGTCGATTTGTCAGGATTTGTTTGTATGAAGGGGTCTATCCCAGCGTGCAGCACATTTGGAAAATGTCTGAAAAACTTACCGCGCGTTGACCCTAGATTTTTGAGTGAAATCGGGTAGACGGAACCCTTGGAGGTCGTCGATTGCTGTACCCGAGGGCTTGAGCGTGCTGGTCTTGTTCAAATTGTTGATTACGCTAGATAACACGCTCTCTCTCAGAAACTGTAACTAAGGTCTACTCTGCATAGGTGCAGTATAAACTATAGGTGGGCTCGGTAGGTTTTGAATAAACAGAAATGTGCCTGAGCAAACAATGATTGACTAGTCGCCCTAGTAGACGAGTATCCTCGAATACCAGTGCTGAAAAACCCACTTTAATCTCGACCGAGCGTCACATTGTGTTTCGTCATGGGCGTGTGTCTAAGTAGAGAATACGATACAGAAGTCTTGGGAGTCGATCTTACGAGATATCGTTTATCTTGCCTCATTTTAGTCTGTCTTCAGACAGAGCGCAACATATTTATCTTTGTTTTCGGGCAAAGTACAACAAAACAAATTGATAGGCACCCGATCATGGGGAACATCTGGCCACAAATGTACCTCCCTCATTTTACTAGATAGAGCAGAAGGTTTTTGAGTAATACTGATATCAGTGCAACCAAAAGTGCACTAATTACGGACCTGAACCGGGTGCACTGGCTCGTGCTCCTGACATTATACTGTCTTTTTGTCGCATTCTCCCAGCGTGCGGCGTCAAGTCGACGTCGAATATGATACCAGGGTTTGACGTCTACCACTGGCCTAAGGAAATACTAAGGAAATCTCATTTCATAACAGGATTATTTGCCGTATAAATCAAAATATATCAATCCCGAAAACAACTGTTTATGCTGGTTTTAATTTATTTTCATCTTCTTCTAAAATTCTTACTTATTCTTTTTTATATATTTCTTCTCGTTCTCATTCATTACCTTCCCTCCTCGCTTCGTTCCTTCCTTTCTTCCTTCTGTCCTTTCTTCCTTCACATAATTTCAAGGAATACTAAGGGCTGAAAGCTTGGGAATATGTGGGATATCATGGATAACAGCTCGGCATTGTAAATGCTGTTACACTTGAGAAAGGTATGAATCCTCTTCTCCCCACCACCACCTGCTACGGGAAAAATTCCAGGACAGAACGGGTTCTATAGCCTTGGATGTCAATTGGTCTAGCTCAGAATGAATGGCAATCTACTGCGGGAAAAAAATCTGCCTCGTCAGTCATGTATCGAAAGATACATGATCACCTAAGCGTGCATCAAGCATGTCACATAGCTGACTGAAATTCATTTACGTGTTAATACCCTTGGGAAAGATATGAATCTTCTTCTTCTCCCCACCTCAGTTATGGGTAAATTACAGTACAAACCGGGGTCTATAGACTTGGATGGCAACTGGTCTACCGCAGAAAGATATAGCAACCAACTGACTGAAATTTGCTTACGGTTTAATACCCTTGGGAATGCGATGAATCCTCTTCTCCTTTCCCCGCTACGGGTAAATACCAGGACAGAACGTGTTCTATAGCCCTGGATGGCAGCTGGTCTACCGCTGAAACAAATTGCAACCTACTGCGGGAAAAAAACATCTGCCTTGTCGGTCATGTATCGAAGGATACATGATCGCCTAAACGTGCATCACGCATGGCTCTGAACTAATTGTAAATGGAAGAAACACGTTTCATCTTCTGTCCTGTTGATTTTACTACCATAATCCTTGGAAAAAATATCAATCCATCTTTTCTTCCCCCAGCTATAAATGTATTTGTACCATTAACCTTTTCCCTATAAGGAAATATATTGGATTCATTGAACGAGCAGTCATCATTTTTTCATTTAAAAAAAAATATTCTCTCAAAGACTTTTTATAAGCAAACAGAACTACGGTTAAATTCATGAAGTCAAATAAGAAAATGAAGAGATGCAAAATCTGTCTATCAATCGCCATGTTTTTCCGCTTTGAAAATAAATGCTTTACTGTCCAGTAACTGTTATTGCTCTTTCCTCTAGTGATGGTTCTTTTTTCTTCCTGACCTTCTATTTGAAGTTTCATGGAAAGTTTATATCTTGCTTATGTCACCATTTTCTTTTCAAGATATATGTGCTATTTATATTAGCTGTTGCTTTTGTAGGTAGTCCTCAAATGATGTGGTTTCTGTTATTTGGTACAGTTCTTTGTTTGTGATTCTGTAGCGCTAATGTTCACAGAAGAATGATCTTTGCCACCACATTCAGATTTTACTCGCTCAAGGCCTTATTTTAATAATGATCTTAAGAAGCGGATGTATACAGATGAGATATTTCTGAACGTGTTTGGCATTATGATTGACATGGGTTAATTTGTATTACTTGTGTCTTTATCTACTGTGCCATGTGCCCTTGACGACACATGGCACAGTGGATAAAGGCGTTGGTTAGATCCAGTGACAGGACCCAAAGAGTGTGAGTTCAATACCCGGTTAAGTCAGTGCAGAACTTTCAGAGGGAAATTAACAGGAGATAACTGACATCCATTAAACATGGCATTTATAACTATAACAGTGAGCGAAGTAAATGTTTCTGTTCGACATTCCAACCACCTAAAGAAGGCCGGAGCGTACAACGGCCGAAAGGTTGTAATAAATATGGCGAAAAAGATGAGGACAATAGTCCGAATAATGTAAATAATGTAGTATTGCTGCAAATCATTATTGTCTCTTGAAACATTGTTGCAATTTAAATATATTTTCTGGCGTTAAATAACATGTATATGGTTGATAAGCCATAAAATATTCGCTCTCTTCTATACCGCACCTGTTTATTTTGATTGATCTTATATTGTTTGTCTCTTTCTTTTTATCCGCATTCACTTGATTCCTTCCTTCCTTTCTTTCTTACGTGCTCACGATGTAACCCCGCACTCTCGGTCTACACTCTCCTGTCTCTCGTTTAACACCTCTCCCTGCAGTCTTTACCTTTCTCTCCCTTCTCCACTCCTCTCTCTTCTCTCTCTCTCTCTCCCTCTCTCTGTCTCTTTCCGAGCATAAACCTACCACCTTTCTTCTCTATCATCGAGGTCTCTTAAATTTTTCTCACTCTTTCTTTGCATTTCAAATCCTTTTTTTCTTAACTGGTAAAACATTCGGCTTTTTCGACTCCTTCTCTTTTCTGAAAAATATTTCTTTCTTTTCTTTTTTTTTATTTTCTCCTCCTTTTCTCTCTATCCGCACAGACCATATTCTCCAGACCCAAACAGTTACTTAGACTACATTATGAAAGTAAAGACAAAAGAAATAAAAAAAAGAAAAACTCTTTAGGCTGATAAGGGAAAAAAGGCCTTTTTAAATCAAAACAACAGGCTTCTGAAATGATTGCTCGTAAGTATTCCTGCGTGTATTTCATTGCCGATGTTTTCACTGGTGTCGGTGGCTTCTTAGATGCATATATATATATATATATATATATATATATATATATATATATATGGCTCTTTGGAACTTTTTGAAAAAATACTTCAAACATTTTCGGATGTATTTCTCTTGCTTACAATTGCGGATAGTTCAATGTATTTCTTACGATAGTTTTTATGTATTGAAATGTATCAGATTGTAATTGCGTAAGCTACACAGCGTCTAGATGTATACATCTGTATAGAGATGGCGTTACATTCAGTTACGGATTAATCAATCAATGACGTCGTATTTTTCATACGCTTCTATGGATGTGCATTGTGGTATAAATGAGACTGGTTCGGAATGAAAATTTGGAGAGCCGAGTTCGGATTCCAGTTGAGATCGTTATATTTACTTACGCGCAAATTCACTTGAAAAATGTTTTACTCCAGTTTTTTTCCTTCGGTTAGGCGTTTAATTCGTAGGGTATATATTAGTAAGTCATAATTATATCTAGAAATTTGTTAAAATGTAAAAATATTTTCTGGCTTTAAATAAGCTGCAAAAGGTTGATAAGCCGTAAAATCCCCCCTCAAAAAAAAAAAAAAAAAAAAAAACATACACTTCTATCAATAAATAAATCAATAGATTTACCACATAGCTTTAACAAGCTTAAACGTGTCCTCCTCTCAGTAGCGTACTCTATAGAACTTATTCTTGAAACCTCCCTGCTTAGATCTTCCTTCCTTCATCATGAACCCCTTTTTAAGCCACTTCTCTGAATCTGGATTACCCCTCCTGTGTTTTGAGCTCAAATGCTCCGTTCATTTGTTTCCCTCTTTCGGAATTCTCATTGTGGATTATCTTTCCGTACTTCTACAACCTTTTCCGTTCAGCGCATTTTTTTTAGAATTAGATCCTTGATATCCTCCAAGTAATCCTGATAAGCCTTTACATTCTGATATTACAGTGACACTAACCCACCTACCATCAAACCACTCCCTCCCTCTTTTCGGTGTGGCTAAACCCTAGCCGGATCACTTCTACGTTGTAAACACAGGTTCATGGTCATTATCTTCCTTGTCTTTCGGTCAAAGTTTGATAGGTCCTCCACGTTGCATTCAGCAATATTTGCATAATACCCGACAACACGGAATGCACAAAACATTGATACCTAAAACAAAATGTCCACTGTTCAACTATGGTCTACAAAGCTACAGAAACCTCTGGTCTACACGTCGAATACACTCACCGCGAGTCTTGTATCTCTAGAACTACCAGATATTTATGACGGCTACTCGCTACATCCTTCAGGGATTCCACAAACGGAGAGCTATATCCATTTTCTATCCACAAATCATCCCCCTCTTGATTTCCAAAATAGCACACTCATCAAGACTAAAAGACATCGTATCATCCTGGGAGCATATCTTCACCATCACCACCATTATAACCATCATCAACATCGCAAACAACAACAACAGGAGAGTTACATTAGATTTATACTAAGCTGTTTGACTAATTCCTCTCAGTAACTAATCGCCTAACGGAAAGTTCCAAGACGAACAAGATCACCATGAAATAAAGCTCGTTTCAGTTTCATGCCTTCAAACTGGTGGCGTTTCATTCGTTTTGACGCATTCATTAACAGGGCAGGTGTTTTTTTTTTGTTTTTCATTACAAGACAAGCAAAGTTTCTTCAAAGACTTATGATCTTTTGTAAATTTATATATTTATACTGGAAATATATATATAAATATAACTTGGAGAAGAAAGGACATTTTGTCGAATTGTCAAACACATGTTCAAAAATATTTCGACAGTGTAAGTTTTTTTTTTTCTCAATATTGGAAGTGTTACAGCAATCATGTTATTTATTTATTTATTTATCTATTCATTATTATTAGGTTTTCCCAAAAGTTCGTAAACACTTGCGAAAAATTGAATTTTTATGCAACACAATCCAGCACAATCGAGACAAGCGATGGGTTCAGAAAGGGCAAGAGACACCGTCGGTTCCAAAACAAGATCGATTCGGCAAGAAAGTCATGTTGTGCGTTTGGTGGAACTTTGAAGGAATCGTGCATTTTCAGTTGGTTCCGAATGGTCGTGCCATCAGTGCCGAACTTTACTGTCAGCAACTGGAGCGGGTCTACGAAAAGTTGAAGCAAAAGTACCCGACTCTGATCAACCGAAAGCGCGCTTTGATGCAGCAGGACAATGCCAAGCCATACACGGCAAGGAAGACCAAAGACAAGTTTGAAGAGCTGCACGGCGTTGAGGTTCTGCCACATCCAGCCTACAGTCCTGACTGTGCTCCATCAGATTACGACCTTTTCCGCTCAATGCAACACTTTCTGAAGGGCCGCCGATTCGACTCGTTTGATGAAGTCGAAGAAGTGTGTCAAGAATTCTTTGATTTGAAGCCGGCTGAATGGTACTTTCACCAGATCCGAAAGCTTGCAGATCGATGACAGAAAGTCTTGGAAATTGAAGGTTTTTATTTTGAAGAATAATTTTTGTTGTTTTTGTTGTTTCAATTTTTTGCAAGTCTTTACGAACTTTTGGGACAACCTATTATTATTATTATTATTATTATTATTATTATTATTATTATTATTATTATCTTATTTCCTTTGATTTCTGATGTGTACTCATTTCTTTCCGGGTCCGCCCAGGGACCTATGGTTAGAAATGGCATCATGACTTTTTCCACTGAAAAAAAAAAACAAAAAAAAAAAAACAAACAAACAAATTTTACATACACAAAGCTCTTCGTAAGGTGTGGCCTGTCCGCGTGAGAATAATGTTTTGCATTTCTTTGAGGCATGGGATTCCAAGAATCCCTTCAATCAGTCTACTGGAATCTTTTCCAATCAATTCTAGGGCTCCAACTACAACGGGGATTGTTGATGTTCCAATGTGCCACATTTCTGAGATTTCGATTTCAATGTACTTGTATTTTGATAGCTTTTTGAAGATCTTGAAACATACATTGCAGTTTGCATGTACTGCAATATCAATAAGGATACACTTTTTTGTGTGCGATCTCTAATAACAAAGTGTTATTATTATTATTATTTCTTCCTTTGATTTCTGTTGTATACACATTTCCTTCCGGGTCCCAAATACATGCATAATAATCAGAACTTTTCCACTGCTCATTTTAGTTAAAGAAACAGAAAATAATAAAAACAGACACATTTTCCATTGAAAAAAGCTCTTCGTAATGTGTGTGCTGTACGTGTGAGTATTTCTTTAATGTGTGTGGTCTGGAATAACTTCAATGATTCTATCAGAAAGTTTTCTAATCAATTCGAGGTCTCCAGAATTATTGATATCCTCATTTTCCTCATTTCTTTAATATCCGTCCATTGTGATAGTCTTTTGAAGGTCTTCATAGATCCATTACAATCTGCAAGGACGGCCATGTTACTAAGAAAGTACATTCTCTTTTTGTGGTCTTTGTCCCATGAAATGGTTACAGGTGCTGTCTCTGTAATCGAGTCTTGATGACGTTCATAGCAGTTTCTTGCAGTTTCCTTCCCGTAGAAATTGCAAATTTTCCAGCGCAGACATAGGCCCACTTTATCATGCCGAGTTTAACATTCAATGTGCCACCTGATACAAGATGGTCAATTGCTTTTGGATATTTATCCCAGAATTTGTATCTTGGATGAACGCATTTTTAGGACTTTTCTAGTTAGCAAGCATTTGTCCCGTGCAGCAAGAATAAAAACTTTTGTTTCAGTATTTAACCCTGTACTATATAAACACCGTGTCTACGCCAGCTTATTTGGTACTGTCAGTGTATTGACTACGAAGAGGCTTCTCTTGCCATCGTTTTTGCATTTGGTACATTGCATTTACTTTTGCTTTCCTTTATTGTGATCTTTTGCGCTGCAGTAGGCGCAATATGGTTTATTTGCTGTTCTTCACCCACTTAAAACTCCTTTTTGAATGTGTTGGCTTTTTTTATTACTGAATAAAGGTTCGGGGCTTCTATCATATTTTTGAAGTATTGTTATTAGTATTATCACTAATATTCAGTAAACAAAATGGTTATCGCTGTAGTCAGTAAAATCAGTGAGACGAGTTCAGATTCAGGCCTTATTTACTGCGTACACTTAAGGCACTGGCGAAAAGAATGAATCAATCGCTACTGAAAAATCGATGGAGTTATTTAGCCATGCATGGCAGTCAATTTAGAAGAAGGAAAACTCTCTATACCAAACTATCATGAAATTAACCAGAAATCCATTTTTCTCAAGAATACCCTATAATTCATGATTAAGAAATCTATGAATCCCGATGACAGCATAGTTTCTCAAAGTATATAGGCTGAGGTACAAATACACAGAACACAACTTACCCATTTTGACCTATGAATCTGCTTGATTTCAGTTGCTGCGCTTGATGCTACAGACTCAGTGGAACAAGGTTAACGGTAATTGAGCACGGCAAAAAAAAAGAAAACACGATATAACCCTACAGCGAATCGATCTAGCACCGTAGATTAAAAAAAATTCAGTTCGATATAGTCCTCAAATTTGTCCGGATCGTGAAACACCGGATGAAGACCGGAGTGTATAACGACCGAAAAATTATGAAAGTAACAAAGGCCATAAATAAATGTAAATAACAAAGAATAATTAAGATCAATATTTTTTTATCGAAAAATTATTGCATTTTCTTTTCTCCGTCCTACAGATGATCATATTGAAAAGACAGGTTATGTAGCTTTATGCCCGCTCACTAATTAGATGCGAGGCTACAACTATTCTCATATTGCAATACTGCACTTCTCAGATCTTTGTAAATATAAAGGCTGTTCCAATGGCTTGGACTGATTTTAAATGTGAATTAAGTTTA